CAAGCACTCATTGCCTCGCCCGGTGATTCTGATTGGCTAACAGAATTCCCGCCACCGGACGAGCCACACCGTGCTGACCGTTAACAACCTTCACGGTCGTTAACCTTGTTCTCCCTGGAATATCTTAAATATTACTATTAAATAACAATGCTATTCTGATGCGACGCAATAACACGATAAGGCTTTCCGTAACACTAGTGGAAGCGTGTTGAACAGTCTCGGGCCTCTGATGTTGATAGTTCTCTATTGAACACTGTGAGGGGTCGGCCAGTTATGTCCCTTATGTGTAGTGGAAGCGTGTTGAACAGTCTCGGGCCTCTGATGTTGATAGTTCTCTCTTGAACACTGTGAGGGGTCGACCAGTTATGCCCCTTATGTGTAGTGGAAGCGTGTTGAACAGTCTCGGGCCTCTGATGTTGATAGTTCTCTCTTGAACACTGTGAGGGATCGGCCAGTTATGTCCCTTATGTGTAGTGGAAGCGTGTTGAACAGTCTCGGGCCTCTGATGTTGATAGTTCTCCCTCAGCGTACCTGTTGCACCTCTGCTCCTCAACGGGGGTATTCTGCACATCCTGCCATGCCTCCTGGTCTCATGTGATGCTATTTCCATGTGCAGGTTTGGGACCAGATCCTCTACTATTTTCCACGTGTAAATCATTATGTATCTCTCCCGCCTACGCTCAAGAAAATACAGATTTAGGCTCTTAAGTCGGTCCCAATAGTTTAGATGTTTTACTGAGTGGATTCTAGCAGTAAAGGATCTCTGCACGCTCTCCAGGTCAGCAATTTCTCCAACTTGGAAAGGGGCTGTCATTGTGCAGCAGTACTCCACTCTAGAGAGCACAAGCGTCTTGAAAAGTATCATCATCGGTACAGCATCTCGTGTGAAAAGTTCTTGTTATCCAACCTGTCATTTTTCTTGCAGTTGTGACGGCTACTTTATTGTGTTCTTTAAAGGTAAGGCCTTCTGACATGAGTACACCCAGATCCTTTACATTGCTTTTTCGTTCTATGTTATGATTTGCCTGAGTTTTGTGCGTGGTTTCCGTTTTTATATTTTCATTTTTTCCATAGCGCATGAGCTGGAACTTATCTTCGTTAAACACCATATTATTTTCTGTAGCCCATAGAAAGACCTGATCTACATCTGATTGGAGGTTTGCCGTGTCCTCTATGTTGTGTATGGAGTGTACATGTGTACGTAACATGTTGACTGGGCGTTGAGAGGTGGGACCAAAGAGCCAAAGTTCAACCCCCTGCAAGCACAATTAGGCGAGTACTCTCGCTCCGACTCAATCCCATAGAGGATTGACTGGGCACCAATCCTTAACTGCTCGTCCCCGTTCACCCAGCAGCAACTGGAGACCTGGGAGTAAACCGATTGAGAGGTCGTGCTCCAGGGGAGAACAACCAACGCTAATACTGACAAAAAGTAAATTAACCAAACAGCCATAACTAGGCAACAGAGAAACAAACACTCCAATACTACACACAAAGCAAGAGAGGGACAAGAAAAACAATTACAGAGGATTAGGAAGCAAAGATAAAGTGAGAATATATTTCAACTTTAAAGAACAAATATTATAAAATCCCAAAGCTTACACACTCAAAGAAGACGTCATAAATCAAGAACAAATATATACATGAACCAACACGAGGAGGAGGAGGAGGAGAGTGCTAAAGGTCGACAAACAAGCGAAGACTATAAAGAGAGAGAGAAGAGGAAGACATAAATAAACCATGGCAAACAGGAAATAAAACTGGGCCATTAATCAAGAGAAAGCCATAAACCAGGACGAAAGATCAATACCAGACCAGAGAATGTAAATATATAGAGATGACCCACTCATAAAACATGATACACTGCATAGGCATCCACTCACTCCCTCCCTCACTCAGTCTGTGTCTGCGTCTGTGTCTGTGTCTGCGTCTGTCTGTCTGTGTCTACACCTTTATATGTGGAGAGAGAAACAAGGGAAAGAGGAAACCCCACAAAGAGTGAAAGAAGGATCACCACCACCACCATCTACACCATCACGTGTAGATGGTGTAGATGGTGGTAGGAGGAGAGCACAACTAACAGGAATGATAAAAAAAGTGTAAATCGGAAAAGAGATGAGAAGGGATGGCGAAGAGGATGAAGGTGGGGTATTGAGGAGAGAAGGAAGAGAGGAGGAGATGGAGAGGGAAGGAGAGGGTGATGGGGAGGGTAGGAGAGGAGAAAGAATAAGGATAATGAGGAAGTAGCAGCAAGTTTTAGTGAATTGTTTTTATTCGAACGTTTCTAGTCAGGTTAGGAGTCTTGAGTGTTTTGTTCCAGTGGCAGATGAAGACTCCACACAGCTTACCCATCTTCTGTATTCCTGTGTTGACGGGGGCAGTAAACTCAATGTTCTGTCTTGGTCTCTACGACGGCAGAATGTAACTAGGTGTTGGCTGGCTGCTGTTTGTGCAGTGTTTGATATGTATTACTTCCCCTATGTCTAATCTTCTATTGTCACTATCTATCGAGTACTTCAGTGATGTTTGACTGATCTCTGGTGATGATCAGGTTGTGTGTAGAGATAATATGCGCTTTAATGAGGCCATATTGTCTGTGTATGGTCAGGTACCTTGAAAGAGATGATGTTGTCATGCCTATATATTGACATCATTGGGGCCGGCAGCCTCCAAGTGGTACAGATAACAAGTATACAGTTGCATGTTATCTGTACTTTGTGAAGGTACAGATAACATGCCTGTCACTCAAGGCGTTTCACCTGCTATGGCTTGAGTTTTGAAATGAGTAAGTTGGTCATATAGTATATTATTAACTATCTTCTGCTTGGCGTTGGTATGGGTCATATTCCTATGAACAATGTCCTTCAGAACTCTTTCCTCCATTTTGCGAGTGGAGAAAACGTTCCTAAACAATATTTTGTAAGGATGGGCAACTAATGTATTTTGAATATTTCGTGCAAGGAAGCATGGCGGGGTCACCTTTCTTTAAATGATCATTAATACGCAAGATTGAGATTTGTATTCCTTCGAGAAAATGTTTACAACAGGAAGGCGTGATGGAACGAGGTCACCTCCTAACCTTAATATAATCTGTGTATTTAATTCAATAACTTAAATTAATTAGGCAGTTAATCCAAATAATTAACCAAATTAATCCTTCATAAACTGTGTTATCAGTGCCTTTGTGATAATGATTTAATATACTCGTATAAATGAGCGATTATTGCCAGACCTATTATTAACGACGGTGTCTAACTGGTATTGATATATACGCCAATATTACGAGTTAATTGTATTGGCTCATGCACCAAGGGAGCCGGTCGGCCGAGCGGACAGCACGCTGGACTTGTGATCCTGTGGTCCCGGGTTCGATCCCGGGCGCCGGCGAGAAACAATGGGCAGAGTTTCTTTCACCCTATGCCCCTGTTACCTAGCAGTAAAATAGGTACCTGGGTGTTAGACAGCTGTCACGGGCTGCTTCCTGGAGGGTGGAGGCCTGGTCGAGGACCGGGCCGCGGGGACACTAAAGCCCCGAAATCATCTCAAGATAACCAAGATTTCAGCAACACTAGCTTAGTGAGGAACTAAAGTGACGTTAATCTCTCTTTATCTAAGCCTATTATTTATTGGATAAAATTTTAGTAATCTTATTTTTCCCTATTATTAATTAATAATGTTAGTAACTTTTTATTTGTATATGTTGTGATTATCATTCTCTGTTACTCCAGCGTAGTTTATATGTATTTTAACCTGCGATAACTCAATAATATATATAATTCTGTATGGCTAGTTAATAGCAAGCTTTCTCCGATTAGGTTCCATTTGCAGGTGACGGTCGTAAGTGTGTATTCTTGACCTAGCCTCTTATGTTCTGAGTAATATTTCAATTCACTTCCCCAAGAGCCTAGCAATTAGCTAACTTGTTTCCATTTTCATAACTAGCTTCTAATTAACTAAAAGAGCAAAGCACCACCACCACACTAGTATACATGTACTGGTGTACACCATTTCCTGTAAACTGTACATTTTGTTGATCGACAGAAGAGCAGTTACATAGTCAAATATAGACAGTTGAGAGGCGGGCCGAAAGAGCCAGAACTCAACCCTCGCAAGCTGAACAACTTCAATAATAAACGGATAAGCAAATAACCAGGACTTCACAGAAATAAACTGGGAAGAACAGCTAGGAAATGCAAACCTGGCCTGGAAAAAATAAGCTCAGTAGCACTAGAAATATGTTCAAACCGCATACCCCTAAGAAAAAGAGAAAGAGATGCAGATTGGAACGGGAACGTCGTTCCTTATATAGGCGAAGAAAACGAATCGCGGAACAACTTGAGAGTCGCACCCTATCTCAAGAACGGCGAAGAAGGTTAGGTAGAGAAATAGAAACAATTGAACTCAAGCTACAAGAATCATACAAAACCCAGGAGAGGCAAAGAGAGCAAAAGGCCATCAGTGAAATAGAGAGAAATCCGAAATATTTTTCTCCTATGCAAAATCAAGATCAAAAACCACATCTAGTATCGGGCCCCTGCGAAAGGGAGATGGAACTTTCACAGATGACAACAAAGAAATGAGCGAGTTACTGAGGAAGCAGTACGACTCTGTTTTCAGTGTAGGTGAATACCACTAGATGAATGCTGGTGCACCAGTATTCCAACTACCAGACCCCATCAGATCAGTCTACGAGTTAACAACTTAAGATCAATTATGACAGGCAATTCATGATTGGTGCGATCCCCGAGTTGTTTCAAGAGCAGGTTTGACATACATGAGTGAGTTTGGGAGGATACAACTATTATCTGTGCCGTATAGGCCAACAGGCCACATGTAGTTACCTTTATTATGTTCTTAAGAACATAAGAATAAAAATAACTGCAGAAGATCTATTGGCCCATACAAGCAAGCTCCTATTTATAACCACCCAGTCCTTCTTAGACTTACCTGAAAGATGTACAAGTCATTTGAGTGATTACAGGTAAGAGATAGGTACTAACCCTGTCTGCCACGCCTCCAGGTAAGATCGTCTTGACCACTACACCTGTTGACTTGCCGCCAATGATCCCAAAGCCGAGGCCAGAGCCATCGTTGATGAGGTCAATAGCCTCCACTTGGGCCCACTCCGTGTTTAGCTGTCAAACAAATTAGTGATCTTATTAATGACCAGTTATGAGGTAATGGGGTAAAAATTAACATTATTACTTTATATATGAAATATATAAATAAACCTAGTTAATTAGATTTTTTTTATAAACATGTATAAGCTGTTAAATTGATGCCACTTCATGAATGAAATTGTTAAATAATTAATAATTTTATTATTTATTATAATTTATATTTATAAATAATGATTAATATTTAACAAAATTATTTGTTAAATAATTGATAATTTATGAATACTTTTTTAAAGTTGGCATGGAAAGATTTATTATAAACCAATTAAAACAAAATAATTAAACAATTAAGTTACTCGATTAAAAATAATTTATAATTAGTATTAAGTTATCAACAGTAAGAGAAGAATGATAGAGTAAAATTCTCATAATTTGTGCACTTTTATAATTTGTAATTTGATAATCCAATCTAACTTATTTTAAGCAAGTAATTCTTAGGATACAAATTATGGGGACAAGTGTGATAAATTTTTCTACAGACAATGACAAAATATATTTAGCAGAGACGGCTGAATTTGTAATGATCTAAGAGGCATAACAACAGGACTATGTAGCTCACTTTGCTACAATACATAGGGTTACCTGGTAATTTTAAAGTAGTAAATACGACACACACAGACACACACACTATATGAATAACTCGTATAACTTCAAATACCACAAGCACAACATTCAATATAGTGAGTGAAGCATCTTGGATAGTTATATAGGCAAGAGGATACGGGTTATGTGTATTCATCTAGTTGTGCTTGTGGGGGTTGAGCTCTGGCTCTTTAAACCGCCTCTTAACGGTCAATCTACTGGTGTACAGACTCCTGAGCTTCTCGAGCTCTATCATATCTACATTTGAAACTGTGTATGGAGTCAGCCTCCACCACATCGCTTCCTAATGCATTCCACTTCTTAACTACTCTGACAGTGAAAAAGTTTTTTCTAACATCCCTGTGGCTCATTTGGGTACTCAGTCTCCACCTGTGTCCCCTCGTTCGCGTTCCACCCGTGTTAAAAAGTTTATCCTTATCTACTCTGTCAATTCCTCTGAGAATTTTGAAGGTAGTGATCATGTCTCCTCTTGCTCTTCTGTCTTCCAGCGTCGTGAGGTGCATTTCACGCGGCCTTTCTTTGTAACTCATACCTCTTAATTCTGGGACTAGCATAGTGGCATACTTCTGAACTTTTTCCAGCTTCGTCTTGTGCTTGACAAGGTATGGGCTCCATGCTGGGGCCGCATACTCCAGGATTGGTCTTACATATGTGGTGTACAAGGTTCTGAATGATTCCTTACACAGGTTCCTGGAGGCTGTTCTGATGTTAGCCAGCCTCGCATACGCAAGCTCCCCTTCCTTACTACTATCCGTATCCTCCCTCCCCTTTACGTCTTTCCCAACAATGCCTTCGTTTCCCAGTCATCTCCATTCTTCTTCTTCCCCCTTCTTCACATATCCACCCCTTCCATGCAAATATCCATCACATCTGACTATTTTCTACCCCATCAAACCCGCTCCTCTACCACCCCATCTCCCTTGCCTCCCATCCCCCCCCCACTCTCCAACACCAGAGAGATGTCGAGCTGCAGGGAGATGTTACCATGACAACCGTTTAGGACTTAGGTTATTGTAATAGTAAACAATTAAACACAAATTAATACAAATTTTCAAAAAATATTATTTGAAGTTCATATATGATGTAGTATTGTTCGCCTAGTTGTATTTACTGGGATGAGCTACGGCTCTTGGGCCCCACCTCTCAAATCTTTAATCGATAAGACGTCCTGTCTTATCTACATTTAAAACTGTATATGGAGTTTTATTTTTGACGTATATCTGATATGAAACTTTTATTTTGGTTTAATAAATAAGTAAAATTTTAACAGTTAACGCAAAAGTGACTTTTGCTGCCTTGAGAATTGTAAATGAATTTACTCGCGATTATTTAAAATTTTTACTGCATACTAATGTACTTTGAGTCATCAAAGTCTTCATTCTCACACACTGATAAACTTCTAAATAATTTAGATACTTAAGTGTAATACTTTCATGCTGTAACATTTCCATGCTGTAACATTTCCATGCTGTAACATTTCCATGCTGTAACATTTCCATGCTGTAACATTTCCATGCTGTAACATTTTCATGCTGTAACATTCAGCATCTGTGATGCTGATCCGAAAAAAACACACACCAGAATACTGAAGTTTTACGACTTAAAACAAGCACAAATATTTATGGCTGGAGAATTTTGGTGTTTTTTTAAGAATTTTTGTATTGAGGAACCTGAAAGTTTTGCATATTGTTTGTTTGGCCTGTTTGGTTCGGGATATATTAAATAATATTTTGATCGACGGACATTGATCAAACACTCACTTGACAACACTGTCAAGCTTAGAACTGGTCTCTCATTGGTAGGAATCTTTTATGCTTGCTCTTGCTCTCTCTCTCTCTCTCTCTCTCTCTCTCTCTCTCTCTCTCTCTACGTTTCCTCTGTCTCCATTTTAATGAGTTTGGAAAAAAAGTTTAGTAGGAAAATGACACTTAACATAAAAGTTCTGTTTATCAGACTCGGATATTTTGAGACAAAAATATTTCACCTCACTTATCTGTCTCAAGTGCAAGATGGGGGGAGGGGGGGAGAGGGAGAGAGAGAGAGAGAGAGAGAGAGAGAGAGAGAGAGAGAGAGAGAGAGAGAGAGAGAGAGAGAGAGAGAGAGAGAGAGAGAGAGACTCGCTAAAAGCAAGAGTCGTACTGATTCCTTAATATTTCGCTCATTTCTTTGTCGTCATCTGTGACTGACAGACAGTAGGATTTCTTCTGTATATGTCCTCCTCCTCCTACCCATTCTCCGCCTATTTCATCCCATTTGCTAACTGCAAGTGCGTTGAAATAGGCTCTTACATCTCTTCTACTCTTCTGAGCTTCCCAAAGTCTCTATTCCCTCCCATGCTAAACGTCCTGTCAACCTGTCACCCTCTCCAAGACAGGCATGGGAGGGGCGACAGAAACGGGTGACAGGGACGGGAGGGGGGACAAGAGCCCCCCTCCCCCCGTCCCTTCACCTGACAGCCAAAGTTTTACGGTAAGGCATAATTCGTGCTGAAGGCCGGCGGACTGCTTTCAATGTTTGAAATAACAATCAATTTCCAGCCTCCCGAGAGGAACTTCATCTCAATAACGGAGAGAGAACCTTAAGATGCCTCCATTCACTCCCACGAAGGTGCTCACTTTGGCACTATATATATATATATATATATATATATATATATATATATATATATATATATATATATATATACACACACACACACACAGCGTTATATGACAAAGAGTGCTGGGAAGACGGGACACCACGAGCGTAGCTCTCATCCTGTAACTACACTTAGGTAATTACACACTACTTCCAAAAACAATGTCTTGTGTTTAACTAGGTATGGACTACAGGCTGGAGCTGCATTCTCCAGGATTGGTCTGACATGTGTGTTGTATAAGGTACTGAATGAATCCTTATACAAGTATGTAAAGGCAGTTCTTATGTTGGTCAATCTAGCGTATGCCGCTGATGATACCCTTTTGATGTGGGCCTCTGGGGACAGGTTCGATGTGATATCAACCCCCAAGATCTTTCTATTTCACTCATACAGGATTTCACCTCCCAGATGGTATCTTGTGTTCAGTTTCCTGTTCCTTTCACCTAATTTCAGTACTTGACACTTGAGTTGAACTTTAGTAACCATTTTCTGGACCATTCCATCAGGTTGTCCGGGTTGTATTATAATCTCTATCTTCATCTGTCTTTATCCTCATAATTTTAGCATCATCAGCAAACATTGCGAGGAATGAGTGACTGTGACTAGAGTGGATAACAAGGCGATCCCTCCCAGGTCCAGGTAACTCAATAGTGACCCAACCTGTGCCAGTCACCCTCACTGTCAGTCACTTAGTTACCTCTGGCGCAGTGAGGGGGAGAGAGGGGGAGAAGGGGAAGGAGGGGGAGAAGGGGAAGGAGGGAGGAGAAGGGGAAGGAGGGAGGAGAAGGGGAAGGAGGGAGGAGAAGGGGAAGGAGGGAGGAGAAGGGGAAGGAGGGAGGAGAAGGGGAAGGAGGGAGGAGAAGGGGAAGGAGAAGGGGGGAGAAGGGGAAGGAGGGAGGAGAAGGGGAAGGAGAAGGGGGGAGAAGGGAGGAGAAGGGGGAGGAGAAGGGGAAGGAGAAGGGGGGAGAAGGGGAAGGAGGGAGGAGAAGGGGAAGGAGAAGGGGGGAGAAGGGGAAGGAGGAGAAGGAGGGAGAGAGAGAAGGGGAAGGAGGAGGGGGAGGAGGGGGAGGAGGGGTGTAAAGGGAAGAGAGAGTAGGGTGCTGGGGAAAAGGGAGAATTTCATAGATCATTATTTTTTAAATAAAACTAAAATCGCCATGATCAATAAAAAGACGTACAAGTTTCTGAAGGAACAATGTAAATACTTGATCAACCACCACCTTAATCACCTAACAGCGTCAGCGTAATACGATGTAGTGGTTCTACACGAGGCCAATGTTATTACAGAAACCAGGCCCGTAGAAGCCCAACTACCTCCGCTACACGAGCTTACTCTTCTTAGAGATGGTCAACAAGGGGTAGGTCGGTGCTAGGTGAGTATGTATTATTACCTTAGATTAGGCAGGGCTAGGTTAGGTTAAGTTAGGTTAGGTTGGGCTAGGTTAGGTTGGGCTAGGTTAGGTCGAGCTGGGTTAGGTTGAGCTAGGTTAAGTTGGGCTGGGCTAAGTTAGGTTAACTTAGGTAGGTTTTAAAATCCTTGACAAAACACTAGTGTACAATGAGACGTTTATCACATTAAATAAAAACCGGACCCTCCCAACCCAACCCGTGTCATACGAGTTGGCCCTTGTCAAGCAGCTTCCACGTTTTCTTTGGTCATGTCTTTCCTAAAAAAGCGCAGTTGGACTATATATAACGCCGGACTTTTTTTCTTTGAGTTTCTGGACCACAGAACTGGTACGTCAAGTCTGAACAGGAAGAACATACACACAGGTAACTGTGGAGGGGGAGGTGAAGTGAGGCAAGTAGGGGAAGATGGAGAAAATAGAGGGGAAGGAGGGAGGAGATGGATTAAAGAAAGAGAAGAGGTGGAGAAGGTTGGAAGATATGAATGAAAAAGGGAGAACGGCAGAGGAAAGGAGGGATCGAACACAAAAATAAGCGGTTTCAATATTTTTCGATTCCACAAATGTTTATTACGGAGAGAAAATGTACGCATGTGCGTGTGGACACGGACGCATGTGCGTGTGGACACGGACGCATGTGCGTGTGGACACGGACGCATGTGCGTGTGGACACGGACGCATGTGCGTGTGGACACGGACGCATGTGCGTGTGGACACGACGCATGTGCGTGTGGACACGGACGCATGTGCGTGTGGACACGGACGCATGTGCGTGTGGACACGGACGCATGTGCGTGTACGTATGTCTAAACCCATCGCAAATAACCTCACGCACACAGGCCAGCAAACCCATTTCTTAATTAAAATGGAAAGCATTTTTTTTTTCCTTGTGGCCCGTTTTCCATGCCCTCCTGCTCCAAGGGGTGACTTAAGGGAGAACTGCTCTAGACCTTAGAGTTGGTGTTCTGAACCCCGACCTGGGGACAGGCTTGACTTGTGATAGCTTGGTCCAACAGGCTGTTACTTGGAGCGGCCCGCAGGTCTACACACATCCACCACAGCCTGGTTGGTCCGGCACTTCTTCTAGGAGCTTTGCTTAATCGTTTCTTGATCACGTTCTCATTAATTCCTGCAATATTTCTTATATTTACTGGGAGTATGCGCGACAGCTGAGGGCCTCTGGTGTTCATCCGGTGTGATTGTGCCTATGGCACCTCTATTCTTCACTGGCTCTATTATGTACTTTCTGCCATATTTTTCCCTCTAGTGTGTTATTTTATTGTCCAAACACAACGCAGACGTGTTATGGTACCTTAATTGTTTTAGGGATAACCTCGAGATAACCTCGAGATAACCCCTCAAGATAACCCCTCAAGATAACCCCTCAAGATAACCCTCAAGATAACCCTCAAGATAACCCTCAAGATAACCCTCAAGATAACCCTCAAGATAACCCCTCAAGATAACCCTCAAGATAACCCTCAAGATAACCCTCAAGATAACCCTCAAGATAACCCTCAAGATAGGGCGATCGAGGGGAGGGAGGGATCGATCTCTGATCTCTCATTCCAGCTTATTAACATAAATTAACCCATGTCATGTCCTCGTCCTATCTTCTATCTATGAATAACCTTAAATGTATAGAACACGGAGTGTTGTATATGGAAATAGAAGATATTTACGCACGCACAAAATTATTGCCGGCACATGAATGAAAATGATGAAATTGAGTGATATCTGACCTAAGAAAAAAAATATCATTTGGAAGATAGTGTAAATAGTGTGGTAGATCAGACAAACACTCCCTCAACCACCACCACACTATAATAAGGCCAGCAGGAGGGGCACAAGGAGGTCCTTACCTTATCCATGGTAAGAACCTCACCTTACCATGGATAATAATGAGTAAATACTATCATTCTCAACTGAAATTAACTGTAGCAGGTAAGGAACCACCACCAGATTGTCACTGACAGCTGCAACTAAGCACTTCCTACTCAAAGCACTTGCCTCATAACCAAAATGACCCCCGGGTTCGATTCCCAGGCAGGTCAAGACGTTTGGATCATGTTTTCTTACACCTGATGCCTGAGCATTTTGAAACACTTTCATCTTGTGTGAACTGTCCAGTAAGATCTCTTATAGTAACAACTATACCAAACCCACCAGCAAACATAATATAATGAATAAAATTAGGAATTTTTAAAAAACAAATCCACAAGGGCCGTGGCGAGGATTCGAACCTACGTCTGTGAGCATCCCAGACGCTGCCCTAATCGACTAGTGCCATAATGTAGTGTAGTGTAGGGAATTTTTGATGTGGTGATATGCCAGAGTTCGAAATAACTGAGGTATTAGCTTTGGTTGAGATCCTTCATAGCCCTTATGATCCAGATGGCGTGTGCCTTGACAGCTCTGGTACGCAGGTTCAATCCCATTGTATGCACGCCACATATATACACATAAGCAATTTGAATTTGTAAATCGGTTCTAGCAACTTTTGAGAGGATACCCTTAGCCAAACCGGTTTGTAATTAAAACCAAACTAGTTGACATATTGGGACAAATGGGGTTTGTTAGTTTAGTCATTCATTATGCACCCCATACCCATTCCGCGAGCGGTGGAGGGTTATAGTGGTACATAATAGGGGATGATTCCAACCCTTAGTGTTTGTGGCTTCAGATCTTAATGATGCTTTGAAGCCTTAACACAATTCTCACCCCTAAACTGTGACCAACTTGCCCTCCCCATCTCTCAACAACACACTGCTTTCGTGATCTAGTCCACGGACCCGGGTTCGATTCCCGGCCAAGACAGTTTCTTTCACTTTGCAACAAATGGGTACCTGGGAGTTAAACAGCTCTTGTAGGCAGCATGCTGACTGTGTGTGTGTACTATTTGTGCCTGCAGGATCCAGCTGTTAGCTCTTGGGTCCCGCCTTTATAACCATCGGTTGTCTAATGTAGACACGACTTTTTTCCTCTATCATATCTACCTCACAAATTTCTCTCTAACACACACACACACACACACACACACACACACACACACACACACACACACTTGTATCCTCAGGAAGCAGCTGATCAATTCCTAGGTACCTATTTACTGCTAGGTTGAACAGAGGCATCAGGTTCTGCCCATTATATGAGTGCGTGAGATAAATAAAATGACAGAGAAAAACAGGCAGCGAATCAGTACATCAGACAACGGACGATTAGAAAGGCGGGGTCCAAGAGCTAACACCTCGACCCTCCAGGCACAAATAATAATTATAGTCAATTCACTGCTTTGTTAATACCCTCCATATATACATATCTTGACCCATTTTCCATCCCTCCTTTTCCATTCCACCCCCTTACCTTGAGGTTACCTTTTCCCCTTACCCCTTACCTGAGGTTACCTGTATTTCCCCCACACTAATTCTGTTCCAAAAGACACGATAAAAGCCACTAACCATTTCTGTGGAGGAGGACTCCTGATGGACTGGAGCCACAGGAGGATAGGTCTCAAGTTCCTGGTGTAGGGGTTCCTCTTCCTCGTCCTCCTGCTCCTGCTGCTCCTGCTCCTGCTCCAGGGACACCTCTTGTTGCTGCTGCTCAAGAGGCGGGGCCCGCGCCACCACCAGGGTCACCAGGCCTGCCAACACAACACAATGTCGTTAAGTAACACCATAGTAACACAACTGCCACAGTAACACAACTGCCACAGCAACACAACTGCCACAGTAACACAACTGCCACAGTAACACAACTGCCACAGTAACACAACACTGCCACAGTAACACAACACTGCCACAGTAACACAACACTGCCACAGTAACACAACTGCCACAGTAACACAACTGCCACAGTAACAACTGCCACAGTAACACAACACTGCCACAGTAACACAACTGCCACAGTAACACAACTGCCACAGTAACACAACTGCCACAGTAACACAACTGCCACAGTAACACAACTGCCACAGTAACACAACTGCCACAGTAACACAACTGCCACAGTAACACAACTGCCACAGTAACACAACTGCCACAGTAACACAACTGCCACAGTAACACAACTGCCACAGTAACACAACTGCCACAGTAACACAACTGCCACAGCAACACAACTGCCACAGCAACACAACATCTCTACTTAAGCAGTTATTAGAGCAAAAAAACACAGACAATGTTAATTAAATATCATTAAATTTGTTTATTAAATACCAGGATATTGCCTGTAAGGTAATTAGCAGATTGAGAGAGGCTAGGAGCTGGGATACGAGGACAAGGAGCTGGGGTACGAGGACAAGGAGCTGGGATACGAGGACAATGAGCTGGAATACGAGGACAAGGAGCTGGAATACGAGAACAATGAGCTGGGGTACGAGGACAAGGAGCTGGGATACGAGGACAATGAGCTGGGATACGAGGACAAGGAGCTGGGATACGAGGACAATGAGCTGGGACAAGAGGACAATGAGCTGGGACAAGAGGACAATGAGCTGGGATACGAGGACAATGAGCTGGAATACGAGGACAAGGAGCTGGAATACGAGAACAATGAGCTGGGATACCCAGTCACTTAGGACCAACGACCCTGCAAAAAACAAGGCCTTAACTCAACGATAAATTCCGTACAATCCTTATAATCATTAATTGCAATTTACACTCAAAATAGGCTTAGCCATTCTGCCTCTGTCATCTTGGCTGCCTACCTAGGCCTATTTAATCACTATACTAAATGTCTGCGAACCCTTGAGGTTACCTTACCTTGAGGTGCTTCCGGGGCTTAGTGTCCCCGTGGCCCGGTCGTCGACCAGGCCTCCTGGTTGCTGGACTGATCAACCAGGCTGTTAGACGCGGCTGCTCGCAGCCTGACGTATGAGTCACAGCCTGGTTGATCAGGTATCCTTTGGAGGTGCTTATCCAGTTCTCTCTTGAACCCTTAACCCTCTTAACCCTCTTAGAGGGAGGGAGTCTTAACCCTCCTTCCTTTTTCGTCACAACCTCCCCTCACCATAAAATTTACTAATGCATTACTAAGCAATTGCAACATGAGACTGGTCTTGCAACAGGAAGCTGTCCTTGGTCGCTAATGTACACGCCAAGGATGCAATACAGCACTGCGGCTATGCAAATGAGTCCTAGTTATTATGATAATGTAATCAGGGATAACTACAATTTTAATATTGTACTGTTTATGCAACACTCTTCAATTCCTCTATTTGTATGTATGTATGTATGTATATTATATATATATATATATATATATATATATATATATATATATATATATATATATATATATATATATATATATATATATCACACACACCCTGTCTCCCGTTCAATTTCACTCCCTACGTTCTACTGTAGTTTCCATTTCAACACTTGTGATGGATGGATGGATGGAGAGAGAGGGGGAGAGAGAGGGGGAGAGGGGGGGGGGGGGGGGGGGGGAGGGGGGGAGGGAGGGAGGGAGGAGAGAGAGAGAGAGAGAGAGAGAGAGAGAGAGAGAGAGAGAGAGAGAGAGAGAGAGAGAGAGAGAGAGAGAGAGAGAGAGAGAGAGAGAGAGGAGGAGAGAAAGAGGAGAGAAAGAGGAGAGAAAGAGGAGAGAAAGAGGAGAGAAAGAGAGAAAGAGGAGAGAAAGAGGAGAGAAAGAGGAGAGAAAGAGGAGAAAAAGAGGAGAGAAAGAGGAGAGAAAGAGGAGAGAAAGAGGAGAGAGTGGTTTTAACTACATGTTTTGACTCCATCTAGTATGACCAGCAGTATAGGAGAAACTACCTTCGCTACCATCACCCCCCCCCCCAACGTACCACCCTGGCCCCACAACACCACAACATACACCACACTTTCAGCTCCCCATACACGCATCTCTCCCACACCACTACTGCGTGGATCGGCGTCCAACAACCTGATTGATCCATCCACCCGCATGAAGCAACTCCACCACACACACGACCCAAACACCAATACCCCACACCACACGCCGCCCCAACCACAAAATCCCCCCTACTCTTCCCCCCTCCCCCTGCTAAAAAAACTAAAATTCCCCTAATCTGCCCCAAGTTAGGGAATAATGAAGAACTTGCCACAACTTTCCCTAGTTAAGGAAGATGGGGCTTATTTTTTCATTGAGCTGGGAAGGTTGTGTGTGAACTTGATGATGAGGCAACTTAGTCTTAGCCTCACTCAAGATCTTGGCATTAAACTCATACGAAACCTGTATATCTTTCCTCAGCCATTACGACTTTGTTTATATAAAACAGTTTATAGGCACCGAAATACTAAGAGGTTTTTTTGCAATAACAACCTTTTGTTGTAAATTTTCAAAGCTTGTAAAATGTTAAAATAAATTTAAACAAGTTGTATTATTACATAACTGAGGAGTTCGTCGACATTACACAAAGAATTTGCCATCAAATTTTATTAAGTAAATCATTATAAATTCCTGAATTTTTATTGTCTTAACAAATTCAACAAATGACATTACCAAAATTTCATTTATGTTGCCATTTTCAGAGCTGATATTATAATTATTATCCAATTACTATAATTATCTATGAAATACTAATTAACTCCACTACCAGCATGATAACTGGTATGCCTTAGTTTCTCAAACTGGTCCTTGTATATTTTAGAGACAGATTAGAGACAGACATCTTTATCATACAGTGTGTCTTGAAGGCCATTAGGGGATAACTGTCAAGTCTGGGTTCAAGGTCGTGGTTGGCTCAAGGTGTTTACTTCATCAATCCAGAAGCCATTTTCAACTCATGAAAGTTGGGGAACTATGATGTCAACATTCCATCAAGTCATCCATCCAAGGGCAACTTTCCCCCCCCGTTTCCCAGGGTTCATTCATTCTTATCATTTCTCTCTATCTCATTCTGTCTCTCCCTCTAATTCTCTCCCCCCCCCCCCTCTCTCCCTCTCTCTCATTCTCTCATTTATTCTCTCCCCCCCCCCCCTCTCTCTCTCTCTCTCTCTCTCTCTCGTTCCCCAGTCTCCCCTCCGCCCGCCCCCTTGTCCCTCCGACACCTGGTTGATGGGGTTCTGGGAGTTCTTCTACTCCCCAAGCCCGGCCCGAGGCCAGGCTTGACTTGCGAGAGTTTGGTCCACTAGGCTGTTGCTTGTAGCGGGCCGCAGGCCCACATACCCACCACAGCCCGGTTGGTCCGGCACGTTTTTTAGAAAGCCTAGTTTTCTCTTGAAGATGTCCACGGTTGTTCCGGCAATATTTCTTATGCTTGCTGGGAGGACGTTGAACAACCGCGGACCTCTGATGTTTATACAGTGTTCTCTGATTGTGCCTATGACACCTCTGCTCTTCACTGGTTCTATTCTACATTTCCTTCTATATCGTTCATTCCATCATCATGTTGCTTTACTGTGTAGATTAGGGACCTGACCCTCCAGTATTTTCCACGAGTATATTACTTGGTATCTCTCTCGTCTCCTTTCTAGTGAGTACATTTGGAGAGCTTTGAGACGATCCCAATAATTTAGGTGCTTTATCGCGTCTATGCGTGCTGTATATGTTCTCTGTATTCCCTCTATTTCAGCAATCTCTCCTGCTCTGAAGGGGAAAGTGAGCACTGAGCAGTACTCGAGACGAGACAATACAAGTGACTTGAAGAGTACAACCATTGTGATGGGATCCCTGGATTCCAAAGTTCTCGTAATCCATCCTATCATTTTTCTGGCTGACGCAATATTTGCTTGGTTGTGCTCTCTAAACGTTATATCGTCGGACATCATTATTCCCAAATCCTTGACATGCTGTTTTCCTACTATGGGCAGATTCGATTGTGTTATGTACCCTGTATTACGTTTCAGATCCTCATTTTTGCCGTACTTCCAGTACGCCATTTTTGCCACACCCACTTCCAGTACACCAATGTAAACAGTAGTCTGTCTAATAAACCAACAGTACCCGGATATTCCGTACCTGGGCCGCTCTTACCGGGCACCATACCTGGATTGTACCTGTAGGGAATCTGGGAGTTCTACTCGAAGCCCAGAGCGTGGACAGGCTTGACCCCTCTAAAAAGGATTTCAAGTCGAAGCTTCTATCTATGATATGACAACGAGGCAACGAACCAACGCCGATAACCACTGAGTCGTTAATGTACGATCAGGTGCCTTAGTTCAATCCCCCTCACCCCTAAAAAAAAGAAAAAAAGATGGAGGATATTCCAGATTCCAGGATCCTTTACCCCCAAGCCGTATTGCTGGAGTCGGATTATCTTCCCACTGGAAGAAAACGAGCGAGAGGGGGCATACTTCAGTATAATTATGACGTGTGGGTTTTCATCGGATGCCGAGTGAAGGTGCCTAGAGCTGGGGGACGTCGTGGGGTGAGGGGAGGGTCGTGAGGGGAGGGTCGTGAGGGGAGGGTCGTGGGGTGAGGGGAGGGTCGTGGGGTGAGGGGAGGGTCGTGGGGTGAGGGGAGGGTCGTGGGGTAAGGGAGGCTCGTGGCGGGCACTGAGGTGAGAAAGGCTGGCTTAGCATACATATTTCACCCTCAATCTCCATGATGAAATGTGAAGGTAGACCTGGGAAAGGTTAGGGGTCCAGGAGACCAGGAATCTGTGGTAAGGATTAGGGTGCTAATGCCAGGAATTAATAGTAAGGACTCGGGCACACTTATCCAATGTCAAACACCGTATGCTTATTCTATAACAAAGTAGCTAGTGCAAACACCTCATACCAACAACAACTGGTTGGTTGGTTGGTTGGTTGGTTGGTTGGTTGGTTTGGGTGGATGGGTTTGGCTTGGTTAGGGTGGATGACTTGGGAGTATTGCTTGGTACTCACTTCCCCTTTCAGAGCGGGGGAGATCTCTGAATTAGAGGGAATACAGAGAACATATACGGCACGCATAGACACGATAAAACGTCTAAATTATTGGGATCGTCTCAAAGCTCTCAAAATGTACTCTCTGGAAAGGAGACGAGAGATGAATCAAATAATATATACTTGGAATTTACTTGAAGGCCAGGTCCCAAATTTGCACAGTAGAATAACAACATACTGGAGCGAAAGATACGATAGGAAATGCAGAATAGAACCAGTGAAGAGTAGAGCCATAGGCACAATCAGAGAACACTGTCTGAACATCAGAGGTCCAATACTGTTCAACACCCTCCCAGCAATCATTAGAAATATTGCTGTAACAAAGGTGGGTGTATTCAAGAATTAGTTCTTGCAAGAAGTACCGGACCAACCAGGCTCTAGTGGATATGTGGACTTGCGGGCCGCTCCAAGCAACAGCCTGTTGGACCAAGTTACCACAAATCGAGCCTGGCCTCGGGCCGGCCTCGGCGGGTAGAAGAACTCCCGAAACTTTCTACAGGTATAGTCCAGGTGAGTGGCTAGTTTGGTTGTTTACTGGCTGGATGTTAGATTATACTTTCTTTAAGTGTTTTAAGTGTTTTAGTGCTGGTTCGACTTATCAACTGACGTAATCAAACATGAGTAGATAATGCTCTGTGGCACCAGAGGATCATAAGAAGTATACCCAAAGGATAGAATACTCTGCTATCCTTTGGTCAGAGGGTCTAACACTCAACTGCCTTTGCTAGAAGTTGGAGCACACAATCCCCATGCCATTTACGAAACCTGTACATCTTTCCTCACTCATAGCGGCTTTGTTTACATTTTATTAAACAGTTTACGAGTTCCGAACCACTACAAGGTTGTTTATAACAATAATAACCTTGGCTTGTCAAGTTACAAAGCTCGTAAACTATTTAATAAAAGTAAACAAAGCCGCCATGATTAAAGATGTACATGTTTCGTAAGTTATTAACAAATGTGTTTACTGTACCGTCAGTCCCAATTACGAGTTAACTGGCTATCAGCAGGATTTGCAAAACTAAATAAATTGAATTTGCATCAGTAAAATAATAAATTCATTGGAGTCCTCATTCCCGTTCACTTAATATGCAACTTACATATAAATGTATTCCACATATTAATATTTGAAATCAAAGACCCCAATCACTAGACTAACTTCACTACACAGAAACGTAGGGAACAAAGTGCCAATGATTCTACGTCAAGACCTGGGGCCAGATTCACGAAAGCACTTACGAACGTGTCCATCTTTCCTCAATCTTTGACGGCTTTGGTTACATTTATTAAACAGTTTACAAGCATGAAAACTTCCCATTCAACTGTTGATATTGTTATAAACAGCCTCCTGGTGCTTCGGAGCTCATTAACTGTTTAATAATTGTAAACAAAGCCGCCAAAGATTGAGAAAAGATGTACAGGTTCGTAAGTGCTTGCGTAACTGCTTCGTGAATCTGGCCCCTGGCTATAAATTTTCGTTCGCGGATGTTGAAAAGCAGAATTCTGATGGGCCACAAGCAATAAATTTGTCATCCAAAGAACTCGGAGGAAAATTTAAATTCGTGGAACTTGTGGTGTGAAGGTGTGGACCAGTACGGAATATTGATGGCCACTGTGTGATGTGGAACTCTCCTGAGTGTGAGTGTGTGAGAGTGAGTGAGTGAGTGTGAGAGTGAGTGTGAGAGTGAGTGTGAGAGTGAGTGTGAGAGTGAGTGTGAGAGTGAGTGTGAGAGTGTGAGTGAGAGTGTGTGAGTGAGAGTGTGTGAGTGAGAGTGTGTGAGTGAGAGTGTGTGAGTGAGAGTGTGTGAGTGAGAGTGTGTGAGTGAGAGTGAGTGAGTGAGAGTGTGTGAGTGAGAGTGAGTGTGTGTGAGTGAGAGTGAGTGAGTGTGTGAGAGTGAGTGTGTGTGAGTGAGTGAGTGAGTGTGTGTGAGTGAGTGAGTGTGTGTGAGTGAGTGTGTGAGTGTGTGTGAGTGAGAGTGTGTGAGTGAGAGTGTGTGAGTGTGTGTGAGTGAGAGTGTGTGAGTGAGAGTGTGTGAGTGAGAGTGTGTGAGTGAGAGTGAGTGAGTGAGTGAGTGAGTGAGTGAGTGAGTACTCACCTAGTTGTGCTTGCGTGGGTTGAGCTCTGCTCTTTCGGCCCGCCTCTCAACTGTAAATCAACTGTTCCTACTACTACTATTTTTTCACACCCCCAACACACACCCACCCACCCTAGGAAGCAGCCCGTGACAGCTGACTAACTCCCAGGTACCTATTTACTGCTAGGTAACAGGGGCATAAGGTGAAAGAAAATTAATAACAAAATTAGCGAGTATGAGGAGAAAATGAGCGGGTATGAGGAGAAAATGAGCGGGTATGAGGAGAAAATTAGCGGGTATGAGGAGAAAATTAGCGGGTATGAGGAGAAAATTAGCGAGTATGAGGAGAAAATGAGCGAGTATGAGGAGAAAATTAGCGGGTATGAGGAGAAAATTAGCGAGTATGAGGAGAAAATTAGCGAGTATGAAGAGAAAATTAGCGGGTATGAGGAGAAAATTAGCGGGTATGAGGAGAAAATTAGCGGGTATGAGGAGAAAATTAGCGGGTATGAGGAGAAAATTAGCGGGTATGAGGAGAAAATGAGCGGGTATGAGGAGAAAATGAGCGGGTATGAGGAGAAAATTAGCGGGTATGAGGAGAAAATTAGCGGGTATGAGGAGAAAATTAGCGGGTATGAGGAGAAAATTAGCGAGAATGAGGAGAAAATGAGCGGGTATGAGGAGAAAATTAGCGAGTATGAGGAGAAAATTAGCGAGTATGAGGAGAAAATGAGCGGGTATGAGAAAGGATTACGTTTATCAATATGCGATAAGTTTCATCTATATAATTGTCCGGACCAATGAGGCTGTTGGTGTTAGCGTTCCACAGCACCTCTCCAGAAACACCAGATTCCATCTTCAAGATGCTGACCTCATATTTCTCATATCTTCAGACATGGTTAAAGAGCCTTACACCACTGATGTAGACAAAGCCGAGGAGACTAACCACTAATGTAAACAATGTTACAAAGTCTCAGACCACAGATGTAAACAGAGACAATGGGGGCGTCGTATACCAGTGCTGTAGGGAGAATGTAGGGGGGGGGGAAGTCTCCATACAACACCAGGAGACATGGAAGCACAAAACAGCCTCACTGTATACTGGCGGAGGAGGAATGAGGAGGTATGAGGTGGAAAAGTGAGGAGGTATTATGAGTGGTGAGGTATGATGTGGAGGAGTGAGGAGGTCCACATTTGGAGGCAGGTAAGAGTTATGAGAGAGGATGATAATGTAGACGAAAAACACACTTAGAATGTATAAAGAACAAGAGCCTAAGAATGAGGAATATAGGACATAGATCTGCCACAGCACAAGGAACAAGAGCCAAGTGGGAGTACTCACGCGTGGCCTTCTGCAGGATACCTATGGCCTGCTGGTGGGAGATGTAAGAGTCCAACACTTGACCGTCGATGGCCAGGATCTGGTCCCCCTCCTCAAGCCGTCCATCTCTGCAACACACAACAAACACCAATGTTACCATCAGCCCGCAGGCCCACATACCCACCCTCTTTGATACCTCTCTCGTCTCCTTTCCAAAGAGCACATTTTAAGAGCTTGGAGACGGTCCCAATAGTTTAGGTGTTCCATCGTGTCTATGTTCTCTCTCTATTTCAGAAATCTCTCCCGCTCTGAAGGGGGAAGTGTGTACTGAGGAGTACTCAAGGCAGAACAGCACCAGTGTAGTTGTATCCCAGGATCTGAAGGTTCTCGTAATCTATCCCATCATTTTCCTGGCTAAACCTTGTTTTGTT